TATGAAGCATATGAAGCATATGAAGCTGCACATCGCATGTGGCATATGCTTGCATATGAAGCATTTGTGCATATGAAACACATGTGCGCATGTGCATATGAAGCATAGGTGCATATGTGCATATGTGCATATGTGCATATGAAGCGTGTATTAAGCGGGTACGGCATTACTGTAATGTAACAGAAGACTGCATCTGCTTGCAGATTGCATATGCTTGCAGATCGCATAGGCTTGTATATCGCATATGATTGCACCTGGAATGTGGCATATGCTTGCAGATTGCATATGCTTGCAGATCGCATATGCTTGCACATCGAATGTGGCATATGCTTGCAGATCGCATCTGGCATATGCTTGCAGATCACATATGATTGCACATCGCATGTGGCATATGCTTGCATATGAAGCATTCGTGTATATGAAACACATGTGCATATGTGCATATGAAGCATACGTGCAAATGTGCATATGTGCATATGTGCATCTGAAGCATATGTGCATATGTGCATATGAAGCATATGAAGCATATGAAGCTGCACATCGCATGTGGCATATGCTTGCATATGAAGCATTTGCGCGCATGTGCATATGAAGCATGGGTGCATATGTGCATATGTGCATATGAAGCGTGTATTAAGCGGGTACGGCATTACTGTAATGTAACAGAAAACTGCATCTGCTTGCAGATTGCATATGCTTGCAGATCGCAGTTTGCGATCTGCTATCGCTGCACATCGCACATCGCATAATATGCATATGTGCATATCAAGCATATGAAGTATATGCTTGTGCGTGTGCGTGCACGATGCGTGTGCACGTATCGTGAAGTGCGTGTGTTGAAGTTGGAACGTCGAAGTTTGCGATCTGCTATCGCTGCATATCGCATATCGCATAAGATGCATACGTGCATATGAAGCATACATATGAAGCATATGAAGCATATGAAGCATACGAAGAAAAAAAAAGAAAAAAAAAGCGCGCAAAAAAAAGACGCGCGCGCTGGGGATTGAACCGCACATCGAATGTGGCATATGCTTGCAGATCGCATATGCTTGCAGATCGCATACGCTTGCAGATCACATATGATTGCACATCGCATGTGGCACATGCTTGCATATGAAGCATTTGTGCATATGAAGCATATGTGCATATATGTGCATATGTGCATGTGTCGGCATATGCTTGCAAATCGCATATGCTTGCAGATCGCATATGCTTGCAGATCACATATGATTGCACATCGCATGTGGCACATGCTTGCATATGAAGCATTTGTGCATATGAAGCATATGTGCATATGTGCATATGTGCATATGTGCATATGTGCATATGTGCAGATGTGCAGATGAAGCGTATGTGCATATGTGCATATGAAGCATATGAAGCATATGAAGCATACGAAGCATACGAAGCATACGAAGAAAATACGAAGCATACGAAGCATACGAAGAAAAAAAAAGAAAAAAAAGCGCGAAAAAAAAAAGACGCGCGCGCGCTGGGGATTGAACCGGCGACTTGGTGGACAGAGAGACAGACGGAGGGATGGCAAGGTGAATTGCGAGCATCGTCAAAGCTACAAGCGAAGAAC